ACACAGATGAACTAATTTCTCCACTAGAAATAATTGCCAGAAATATGTGGCCATTATATTATAATAAAGGTATTTATGAGCCTTCAATCTCACAGGCTCACTATGAGATATCTTTGAAAATTTGAAATCAGCTCCTGAGGCTTAGGGAGAGCGAGGGAGAGCAGGAGGGAAAGAGTGAGAGAACAGAGAGAGAGAGAAAGAGAGAGAGAGGAATGGCAAGGGAAAGATGTGGGAGTTGTGTTTTGCTTTTTTGCCAGGGGTTACATTTATAATTATCTTGCTGGCATAAAATGGCCATGAGGCTTTTTCAATAAAGGTAGGTGGCACCTACAGCTGAGAATATTACCTACAGATCAACACAGAACAAGAGTGAGGACTGCGAATAGAGAAAGACTCAATCTAGAGTACAAAGTATATCCTATATTAAGTGTATTTAGTCAGGACATTCATTAGTAGCAGTGTCTTTAACAGTGCTGGAGAGCCAAGCACTGTGAGGGCTCATGATTTGAAGACGAGGTGAATGAGTCCATCCACTGACCTTCACTCATGGTGAGTAAGCAGAGCCCGCGGAGCAAGGGAAAGATTGCCACAGCCACTTTCTCCAGGCCCTGTGCTGCCTTTTGATGACTGGAAATAATCACTAGAGAGAAAGCGAGTGAGAGACATGATCACAGACACACCACAGAGGAGAGGAGGATCTCAAATTACTTTATTCTCTGCTCAAAAGCCCCAGTCCTCTAAAGGACTGCAAGTCAGTCTCTTAATACTATTCATCTTTTCTCCAACAGGCTGTGTCCGGAGAGCAGGATATCTCTAATTCCTTTTCAACTTCGTCTGAATCCAGGAAGTGAGGAGTGATAGGGCCGGACAGGGTCTCATTATACTCAGGCTGCCCCACAGGTAGTATGCTTGAAAATCACATAGCATGCACAAAAAGTATCACTGAATTTTAAATGATACACATGTTCATTCTCCCTCTTACAGCATAGTTTACTATGATTAAAATTTCAGAAAACAATGGCTACTTTTTACACCATTTTATACGAGCTTACATGGTGTATGTGGTGAAACAAATTAGCAACCTAGACTCATGTCGACCAAATTTAATTAAAAAACTTCATGGGGATTCATCAAGAATGAAAGCTATGACTTTTAAGGAGTTTCTTTCTGACTGAAAATATATTCAAATACTTATTTTCTTATTTTCTGATCATGTATGTTAAATAGATATCACTTGTATCCAACACACAATGATTTTTTTACTGCATAAACATAAAAACTGAATGAGGATTGAGCTGTTTTCATGCATTGCTGGGTTAATCAGCATCTAGTTTATATGAGTGTTTGGCACATTTCACCTCTGCCTGTTGACACTGTGGCAAAAATGTTTGTTTCCATCTCAGGATTATCTTAAAGGTGGGAAAATAATGCCAGTTACAGGCCACAGATGTGAGCAGCCTGAGGAGCAACTGGGTTCCAGTCATCTTTGACAGGGAAAAGTGGGGTAAGATCCTGACCTGCAATCCAGGCAACGGCAGCAGAGCTGGTGAGTGCCACTCTAAGTGAGAGATCATTACAAAGTAACTTCAACCATAATTGGTAGTGATTCCAGCAACAATGTGAAAAGTTGTGACATTTATGTCATTTATGTCTGAAAATGTGTCAACAGCAAAGTCCTGAGAGGAAGTAGAGCTGGATGAGAGCTGACAGATATGTCAACATAAATACTGCTTCAAAAAGCTCCATTCACCTTGTTTAATGTCGCCTCTGATGGAATATTACAGTTTATTGTTAATTTGTCCTGCAAGGAGGCTGATAAAATCTGTAGCCATTGAATTGTCATAACCTTGGAATCAGAGGGGCTACTTATATATTCAGTGTTTTAGAGATAGAGCCATTAATAAGCCAGACCACTGGCATCATACAGTCTTCAGCCGTCACAAAGTTGATATCACATCTCGATAGCACATCTGTCCCATCACCCATTAACAACAAAAAAAAAATCAAATCCAGAACAGTCGTTGACTAGTCATTTAAAGTATTATTGTATCATAGTATTTTGTACTGAAAGTAATATCTAATTCCAGTGTTTAACTAATATTCATCTTTCTGAACAATCTGAGATTGCTTGACAGAAATCCAAAGGTTCCTTGTGATGATATTTTACTCAGCCAAATATGATTTCATCCACATTTATTTGATCAAAAATTCACTGGAGTTCAGCCTTTGTTTTTCATTTGTTGGTGTCATTGAACAGTTGTGTTCTTTCAAATAAAATAAAAAAAAAACAACCAAAAAATAAATAAAAACCTACAATGTGATATTGACATGATACAGTATAGCAGCCATTAGTCAACCTGCTCTTTCATTATCAGTATTGACACTGGCCTCTGAAAAACTGTAATAACTCGACCACTAGACGAGTGGTTCTCAACTGGTTTCACTCTGGTTTCACTTTTTTTATGTTAAAAAAAAATAAACCTTTAAAGACTCTAATCTTTAACATAAATCCACTTGTTTTATTGAGTAAAGTACATTTCAGAGCACATGAAGGGGACAACTTGAGGACGACAACTACTGAAGTTGCATATACAGAAAATATTAAATATTGCATTGAATATTTACTTTCTTGACCTGCTGTTCATGACCCATCTAGAAAGTGTCCGCGACCCACTTTTGGGTCGGGACCCACCAGTTGAGAACCACTGCACTAGAGTATGTACTATGTAAAAAGTTTCATTAATTGAGCTATGTATAATATATAAATGCAAGTTGAATAGATAGATAATTTTTAGTTGAAATTATGTCTTCATGGCAACATTTTGAGTCAATGTCTTAAATTGGTATCCAGGTAGTAAACAGGATAGTGTAAAGTGAGCAGGTGTTTATGCAAATGAGAAGCCTGACAGGTTGAGCAGGACTCCAAAGCAAACCAGAGGGGTGCTGCTCACCCTATCAAGATTAAAACCTTCTGATCACCATGCATTATTCTCAGTTTATGTCACACAGTGATCTTGCATCACCCAGTCAGGATTCTAATCTGCAAAACCACCCACTCACTATAACCTATCCCCAACTGAACCTGCCACACTGGGGTCCTGCATCACTCTGTCATTGTCAGTTTAAACTCTTTCATAAACACTGAAAACACCTCACAGTTGGTGTAAATAATATTTTATGAGATTTCCTGAAATTTGAACCCTATAGTCTGGATAATCTTTCTGGTTTGTTGATATATATTTGGTCGGGTTAATCCAGGATATTTCCCCTCTAACACTTGAATGCTGAGTTCAGGGTATTTCTGGGCTGCAGACTCTGATAGTTTTGGATGAGTGTTGCTTCGTTTGGTACCTGCTCCATGAATCCTTGCTGATTAGGCAGGCACTGAAAATATGATGTTGTGATTAGAGGAAAATGTGCTGTGTACCACTCACTGTTGCACCTCTAGCCTATGAGAATAACAGTCAGTCAGAAGAGAATCTAGGGCACAGAGGCCTGAAAGGGAGACATATAGCATAAACCGTAGATAGCCAAAGAAAGTGGAGATTCTGCCAAAAGGGATGAAGACAAGACGACAGGGCTCCGTGTGGGATTTCACTTTGTATTTTGGCCCTGCAGGGATGTGTGGAAGCACAACTGACAGGACTTGCGTGAAGAAGTCGGCTCTATTCAATATAACTAAGTCAAGAATGCTCCATGTAGCCACTGATGCACCAGCATAAATCCTCCAAGGTACAATATGCTGTAGCTTTACCTCTCTGGTCGTACAGAGCTGAAACACTATATAATGTTTAAGACTTTTTTTTTTTTCAAACACATTCAAGATGCTAGAAGAGATCTAAAGAGCTGGGATGGATGCAGAAAATTCAAGTTTAGAAAATAACATGCTTGACATGTGAGCGCAGTCCCTACAGCGAGGTAAAAACAGCCAGCAGACACCATGACAACTTTAGTTGAGATTTATTTCACATTTTTTTTTGCTACATTCCTCTTTTCTCAAATCTAGGGAGCGTAGGTGGGTCAGTCATCTTAGAAATATTTTATATCCAACTTCATATCAATATGTGCTACAAGTAAAAGTGATCTCGGAGTGGGTAGTACAATAAGCTTTAATCTGTTCAGTCATGTCTGAGGCAACAAATCTGCTTTAAAAAGATTCAATGTAAAAAACACAAACACATATACAATGAAAAAGATTTACAGGTCATGACTCGGAGGAATATTATGATCCAATTAAATACCTTTGGGATTTGTAGTTCACACTCCCCATAAGGAAAATGCTGTTACATTATGATTGACTAAATCATCTTTACAGTGTATGATATGGTCTTTAAATTTGTTTTATTGACACTAACGTCAACTATAATTTATGGTTTAATCCAATAAAATAACTTCCATCAAAGTAAAAAAAAAAACACTTCATTGGTATCACAATATTCAACATCATGTTCACTGTGGAAAGAAAAGCTTGTTGAAACTAAATGTTGATGACAACTGAGACATTCTGTACCGAAGCAACACATTAGTGACCTTTTTACAGCGAGGAATAGAAACAGGCTTTGCCAATTTGCCAGTGATACAACAAAATCCAATCACTGGTGACAAGCTATGCAACATACTACTTCAGCAATAAAAGCCTTTTAAGTTTAAATGCGTTTAATAGAAATCATATTCAACCTAATGTAGGCTCTAAGTTTTAAAACAAACTTTTGGGGATCCAGCATATATAAATCCTTTTGAAATTGGCGTATGGGGGCCTGACAATCACAAATGTCCTTGCAATCTCAAACTTATCAAATGTCCTGTATCTTCTTATGGCAAAAACAAAAAATCTCCTGTTGCACCTCATTTTTTTTATTTTCTAGATGGTTCTCAAGTTTATGAAAACAAAAACATCAACAAGGAAAACGAAGAAAAACAGAGTCCACAGAGCTCTGCAGCATCGAAGCGTTTTGGCTGCCACAGAAAAAGTCTAGCACCTCCTGCTGCATTGGAGGTTTCTAGTCCAGCTGCTCCTGCTTTATCCTGTTTGAATTGGGTCCTCGCTGACTAGGCCTCCTCAGTTCCCTCCTCAGGACATACTCGCTGAATTGGGATGAGTCCACGCCTCCACCGCAGGAGCCGGCGATCTCAAAGCCACGTTGTTGGAGACGCTCTAGAACCTGTAAGACGAGGAACGAGAGAGAAAGACGAAGGTATCAGAAGCGATTCAGCGAGAAAGCCATGAAAGGAGAAACAGCACTGGCTTAAGTTTCTTGTTGTTTGATGACTTATTTGATCATCCATGTCAACCGTAGAGATGCTCTTTTCAGTTTCTCCAACATGTTCATCGTAAAAATTTAAGTGACCTCTGACCTTTTGTTCTGGGAGACTGGGAAGCACAGAAACATCTTAACTTTTCTAGTCATACGCAGCCAAGTTATTCTAACATTGGAAACAGCTTTGGGAGTAAGCTGCAGCAACATACGGCCTGTGACGGGAATTTGGATGAGACTTCCACAAAAACCAAGAGCCTCTCGTTTTGCCTCATTTTCATTGTTTCGGGCAGTGTGTGCGTGTGTTTGTCAGAGTGCGTGTGTGTAGCTGTTCCTCATCATGCAGCCTCGCAGACATCTACAGACGTGTCCGGGGGGCCTGTAGGATCACATTCCATCGAAGAGGCCCCAGGGAGCAGTGAGGCTTTCTCTCTGCCACTTGGCTCAGTGTGGACTGCTCAGCAAAACCCCCCTCCTCTCCTCCTCCCCCCTCGTTTTCTCCCCCAGCCCTCAGGCCCAAGCCTCCGCCAAAACTACAAAGGTCCCCCTACTGCTGGCAGCTCTCTCTGCCCCCCCTTCCCTTCTCTGAAAACCCCCGCCCTGCCTCCATTAGCCGCAGATACAGCATCCACCGCCGGCGTGCTTTAATAACCAAACAGGATTATGGGCCCTGCCTGGGGACAACCTGCCAGGGAGCATGCTCACTCTCTTGCTCGCTCTCCACGACTCACATACTTCACAGACGGGTTTGTTTGTGTGTTTTTGGGAGGGAGATGGAGATTTGACTTCCTCAGATGGAGTCACGGTCCAAATCATTGTGAATCTTTTCAAATATGCCTCTCTACCATCTTTTATTGATGCCTATCTGAGGATTGTTGCATCAATGAATCAGTGGAATATCAATATATAATCATAGAAATAAAATATATTGCCAGATACATGCTGAGCATAGATGATACAATTATTCTTTTTCCTGCATGTAGAGGCTGTCTTTTAAAAATCTATCCTTAGCTTTCTATCCTTAGCCTTACATTTACAGTTTTGTCTGGAAAACATTATGTCAAACCTGTCCACTCGTCTCAAGTTCAGATGCCAAAGTTATTTCAACATCTAACATAAGGTGACATTAAAAAAAACCTTAAAGTTATAGTTTTCTTCAAACTTCTGTAGCAGTTTGGTCTCGACAACAGTTTAGATTGTTTGATCAGCAGTAACACCACATTTATAATTCATAGATATGATTAATAATGTTAAAATATTAGAACTAAAATGAAGATATTATTCAAATAATTGTCTCTTTGAGTTTCTTTACATGACTCTAAAGATCCCATGAGGAACTTTCTGTTTGCGTTGACTTTGTCGCCCCCTGTGGACAAAATGATATCTCTTACATCTTTGGTCTATTTTACCAGATAAAAATGAAAGTACTGTGTTTTTTTTCCTCGAAAAAGTGATAGTCTTTCGTGTGTTTCACTCACTTTGAATACTTGCTGTGTTAAAGTAAAAAAAAACAGACTATCCCTTCAGTAGATTGTCTGGTTTGACACCCACTCCCTCACAGCAGCTACAGGCTTTAAAATAATGGTCTTGTTTGTTTTTAAAGGTTTCAGAATTGGTTAAAAAATCCTAACAGGAGATTTAAACCGAACACTGAGAGAAATAACACAATTAGAGTCTTGTCTTCATAAAGCTCCTGTGTGGGACGTTAAATTTGGGGTTTCATGCCTCCTGTGGACAAAGCAGTAACTCTTATCTCTCTGTGGACTATCTTGTACACTTGTGTGTGTGTTTTTGTCACACAAAAGCTCCCCTCTTGAGACATATTTTAATACTAAAATGTATTCCATGAGGGCATTAGTTTTTATTTTGGTCTCCTATCATGAGCTTTATAGGTTTTTGTGCATCCTGAGCTGATTGCTTCCCCTTGTTGTTTCCCATGGTTATGCTCATTGGAGGGATTTCCCACCATGATTCAAAGCTTCAACCATTCCCCTACACGAGGACCTGAGTTCACTATTAACTCATTCATTGTTGCTTTGCTGCAGATTGAGACAAAAGTCTACAGTTTCAATGGTTTATAGATTTTAATGTACAGGTTTGTCTCTGGTTGTAAGAGGAGCATCATTTCGAAACTGACCCTCCACCGTACTGGTGTCTAACTTTAAAATCAGTATTCAGGTCAGAAGACAGAAAAGTAAAGATAGTGGTAGACTTGTGTAATGATGGCTCGATAAATTGATGCTTTGATGAACTCATCAAAGAGCTCATTTTTCTGTTAGGCTGTTCTTGTGATTCATTTTGGTTTAAAAAAGAGATTCTGAATCAGACGTTAGTCCCACTCTGAATGTCCGCAGTGTAACAGCAGATGAAAAGAAGCTGAATGGACAAATCATCACACAAGTAAACTCTGTGGGCAAACAATTGAAAAGAATTAAAAGAAAGCATTGCCAGAAGTAACCTGTAAGTGTTGAGAGTTATGAGGAATCCTGAATGAAATGAGATTAGCCGGCTGCTCTCATTACCTGCACAGAGTTGAGGTGGCAGTACCCGTTCAGGGGGAAGCGGATGACATGCGTGGAGTCATGGTTCCAGCCGGCGTTCACAGAGTTGCACATGACGTCGCCTATTTCCGGGAACACGTCTTCAATCAGGGCCTTGTCTCCGCTGAGTGTAATCCTCTCGCCCAGGTCAGGTGCGACGCGCACCACCAAACACTCGCAGGGGCGGGACACCCGACCCAGCTCCTGGTCCTGACGCCAGCGCTCCAGCTCTGCCAGCATGGGCTGCAGCTGGAAGTACCGCGCCTCCTCATATAGCAGACTGTAGTCCTGAAGGAAGCAGATCAAATATTTCTTTAGAAAACATAGCAAATGCTGCGGATCATTTAACAGCCATGAATGAGTATGATGTCTCTGATTATTCACTGTCAGTTAGATTTGGCTCAACACTGATACAAAACGTTTTTGAAGCATCAGAGCTTGAGTATCATGGTGGGATAAAGGGTTAAGACACTAATTCTGCTATCGTAAATTTCTTATAAATGAGGCTCTAAAGAACAAAAATAAACAGAGTCAAAGTCAGTAACTCCTACTGGGTAGTGAAGTCAGTACAGGGAAGATGATAACGAGTGGTAAACATCATATATACTTCAGATACGCAGGAATAATCAATATCATTTGAGTTTTTAATGTTTTATTTATGCCTGTTTACATCCTTACGTCCAAACAACCCATAAACTTTCCTCAAAGACGTTTGACATAAATTTGACAAGACGACTCTCCATTTTTTAAGATAGATAAAGCTTAATTTGAGGAAACTGGTAACCTCCATACATACTAGAGCATGATTTATCATACTAGAGAGCAAAAAAACACCCCAAAACAGAATTATTTTCAAGTTGCGATTTCTTTCCCGACCCAAAAAAAGCAACAACAACAAAGAAGCTTGAAAAACCACAGTTCTGCATGAGCGAGCAATAAACCACAGAGGAGACACCATTCAGCAAAAATTAGAAAAAAATCCCGAGTGGAGGAGATGTAGTGCGACATGTAACACAGGGCTGTGTGGGGTAGAGGAGCAGATCCTTTACCCGCAGGACTGCAGGGCCTGAATCTTAACACAGCCGAGATTTCTCATGCTCTTTAAAAAAAGAAGAAGAAGAAGAAGAAATGCAACCACTCAATGTGAACGTGGCCTTATCTTGAACTTGAGCCTGCCTTTTGTCTTTTGCTTATTTTAGCTGACATACTTTCCACTGATTGAGTCACACTGTGGACAGTCCATCAGATAATGTGCTTATTTGTTTTCTCCCGGGGCTAGTTAAGTAATTACTGACTAAACGACACATAAATTAAAAAAAAAAAGAGGGTGAATTTGAGCGTGACACATACAGTGAGACTTACTCTGGATGGACACTTGGCTCAAGATTATGGAGCAGTGGAGAAATGTGGCGCCACAGGATTTATTTATTTGTCTTTGTTGAAGTTTATTGTTCTCCTGACATATCTCCAAAGAATCTTCGGCTGCTTAGAGCTGCAGGGGATTGAACCGAACCTCGTGATGAGTAAACGCATTATGATTGAGCTTTGTTTGCCCTCATATTTAGTCTTCAGCATGGGAACCATTTTTTTTCTCTTTTTTTTAAAAGGAGGGCCAGTGACCAAAGGCGTTCCCCAGCTTTAGCATTCATTGTATGTGCGTGTGTGGGTATGTGTGTGTGTGTGTGCTAAGTTGTAGGAGTGCTGACTGGCTGATGGGACTTTACAGTGTTAGGATGGACATGCACTCACTTTGAAGTCGTCTGGGATGAGGAGCTTGGACGTCCTGAGGAAGTTGAGGATGTAGCGGAACATGTGTCCATCCCTGTCAATGAAGTAGTGCTGCTTCAGGCTGTCCAGGACTATGGGCTCTGTGCCATCAAAGAGACGACCAATTCTACCCATAGAGAGGGGAGGGGGAGGCAGAGGGGAGGGGAGAGGGGACACACACACACACACATGACAATATTAAAAAATCATTGATATTTGCTTAAGTTCATAACATAAGCGGTGAGCTAATAAGTTTCTGTCTTTGCACCTTGTCGAGTAGGATGGAAAAAGAGAGAGAGAGGCAAAAATTATACAGTGAAGCAAGAGCATGTGAAGAGAGAGGTGAGTCACTCTCCAGCTCGGAAATGTTTTTCACACCTTCGCACAGATATGCACATATTACCGAGCTCAAAACACGCACCAGCCATGTCAAAGAAAGAAAGAAAGAAAGAAAGAAAGAAAGAAAGAAAGAAAGAAAGAAGGTTGAAGATTAAAAGCAGAAGTGGTCTGAGAAGGTCAGGGCCAGCTGGTAGTTGGTGGCCTGAGGCGGGGTGCCAGTCACCCCCAGGCCTCAGGCTCCAAGCGACAGTTCGGCCTCCCAGCCTCCAGATGGCCCCATGCCCTTTGGCCCTTTACTGCTGCTGTGACATCTGTCAGAATAACCAAGTTGCCTTTGTCTGTGCTCTGCATTCTGCACTTTAGGCTCCAGCAAATTGTTTACTACTCAAAAATAACTGTGGGCATTTTTGATGAAGCTGAAAGCATCTCATGGTGCATTCTTTCAAACATTTCAGCAAAACTCTGTTTCTCAACCGAGAGCATCCCTAAGATATTTTCATGATTTGAGAAGATGTGACATTTGACTGTTTAATGTCACAGGATGACATTCTGTTGCTGTTACACACATCTGAATTCAAACTAAAGGCACTAAATCTTCCACAAATGTCTCAGTTTTACAGGCGAAATTCACAGAAAAACAAACTCTTTCCTCGGGCAGAAACTGCAAACTATATCTGCATCAAATACTTAAAATACAGATTCATGGTAGAGGTGACTCACCGGGATTCTGGGAATTTTGTTAAAGTGGCCAGGCTGCTGGTGTACATGTGTCCACCCACATCAATGTGCACAGGGGCATTAGATTTGGTGAGCTGCGCAGGTGTGGGGATGCCCTGGTTACTCAAGGGAGACACTGGTGACCGCGTGATCATAGGCCGGGACATGCTGGAGCGATTATCCTGTGAGACAAAACAAGGGGGAGAAAAAAATTACAACACTGGGGAGTATGACAGAGAGGAAGATGTGTTAATTTCTGATGGGAAATACAGCACCTCAACCACAAGGGGTTTGATCATTGAAATTTAAAGAAGTGGATTGTGGAGTTAAAATAGTCAAATACATTAATTTTAACATTTCTGCAATCTCACACTCAACAGTCAGGAGTAAAAAGAAAGATTCATCTTCTGTGCAAGTTCAAGCAGCCTGACCTTGACCTGGATGTTGCCACAATCCACAAGCATCCACTCCTGTGGGCCATAATCTCCAAAACCAAATTAATTTGGAGCATCAATCTCTCAGTCTTGGAAAATGAGCAATAATGACTCTCGATTTGAATACTGTAATAGGATTTGGAGGAAATTGTCTCCTGTTAACCTACAAACACCATTAGCAGACGATTTGTGTGAGCTCTCAGAAGAAAATGACTTTTCCCCGCAAAAAGTTTCACACCCGGAGAGAAGATGGGAGCGAAAGGCGTGTGTGTGTGAAACAGCACAATCCCTGAGAATAACTGTGATCATGAGCCACACTCCCTGCATGTGGAATATCTATTAACAGTAAATCAATATGAGAGGATTGTGCGTGCGTAATGCTCAAATAACGTGACATTTACAGACATAATCACACTGAGCATTTGATAAACCCTAAGTGTCTGTCACTGCGCTCCTCCGGCTACCCCGACAGACGCTCTCACACTCATTTCTCTCCGTTTATTCGAAATGAAATCGGACTTTACGCGTTTACCTGCGCCGGCATCACTGTGTTTGGAGAGGAAGTCACCGAGTGGTCATTCTGCTTGAGAGACGCAGCGGGCACCGGCTCTCCTCGGACTGCATACATGAGTGAGGAGGGCTCCCTGCACTCCGCCGCTCGGATCGGGAGCCGTTTAAGCGACGCGTGCACCGACTCATCCACGGAACTGATTGGACGCGGTCGCTTCCTCGCTTTCTGATGCGTTAAGTCCATGATGTCCGTTTCGTCCATTGCGGCACAGACTTTAAGGTGAACAAATAGGACGCGGAGGGTTCCTCTTTTTCTTTTTGACTCCGACACACACCTGCCAAATGTGGAGAGGCGTGAAAAGCCAGCACCGGGGGAAGAGCGGCGCCGTGGCTGTCACACGGAGCAGCGTCTTTGCAATGGCTGGGAGAAGTCAAAGCCCCCGACAACATTAGCATTGTAGCGCCCGCGGCTCTTCTGGGCTGTCGCTGTTTCAGTGGCAGGTACGAGTGTCGCATTTGCAGAATAAAACTCACCCTGCTTCAGACAAAAAAGATAGCTTGGTTTCCGTGTCGGGTTAAGGCGCACATCTGGACCTGCACACCTAACCTTTGCCCTTTTGGAGCAGTGTTTGTGCGCGCGGTCACTCTCTCACAGATGCTCATTGTTGAGCAGCAGATTTGATCACACGCCTTTTTTCCTTTTGAGCATGAATTATAGTTCAGAGAAAGGACCCAAACAGTGACCAACCCACTCATCCACCTGGGCAAGACTGTCCCTATGATATCCTCCACACACCCACACCCACGCACACACACACCCACTGCTCTGAGGCACCTGTGTGATCATGACTTTTCCCATCAGTAACAGCTCTTACAGATACAAATGCGTCACAAACACTTTCCAATCATATAATAATCTGGAATTATAAATCAGTGTGCAAAATAAAAAAGAATATAGGAAAAAAAACATCGCAAGAGAGGACAGGGACGCCTAAAAAAAACATCTCCTGTATCAGTTTTCATCAACTTTCTTCCTGACAGACATCAAAATCATTGTATGATGACCACAACGTGCAAAAACCGCCTCCTATGCCTGCATCAGGACTGTGAAAACCACCCCACTAACGATACCACACAGTGAAAGAACCATACCACAACATGCCCACTTGCTGTTCAAACTCCTGCCACAGCACTCTCCTGGGCTGTTATTTTTTTTTTTTTTTGCACATGAAAATGCAGGGAATCCACAAATTTTAATAACATTCAGATTAAAATTAATTAGTTCAACCACTGGCCTTAAAACATCCACACTCCTGCTTCTCATTGGCAGTGTGAGTTTCACACCTAGATACCCAATTAGCAATTAAGCTTGCCTTTGAGTGCAGGCCTCCAATGCGGTGTGTGATCCTGGTCTGATTTGCATGCCGCTTGTGCACGCGCTGATAAGCGGCAGGCAGCAGCCATACATAGTTTTAAAATTCAACTCCAGAATCCCTCGCAGAAGGCAAAGGGGCCTGCGGGGCACGGGAGAGAGAAATCACATGGCTGCTCTTCAAAAGGGGACCTGTGTAAGGCAGCCGGCAAAGTGCGTGGGATCACACTCAGAATGCAGGTAATTTGTTCCCTGACTAATTTGTGGAGATGGTGCTGTGTGTGTGTGTGTGTAGAGAGAGAGAGTGTGAGTGTGTGCCCGTGGAGAGTAAGTTCTGAAAACAGCTTGGTGGAATTGGATTTCCTCAAAGCCTTGTCATCGCAAAGGTGGATTGAGTGTAAAATCTGTGAGGCATTATGGAAAATTGCAGGAGAGAGAGAAGAGAGGGTGAAAGAGAACGGGTGGCTGGGTGGGTGGAAGTTGTGGGGTGGGGAGTTGGGGGAATAAGCCTCTAGCCTTTATCCCAAAATCACTCAAAGTTGTTCGAAGCGAAGATACATGTGTTGTTGCTCTTAAATCCATGTCCTTGACACTTTTATCTTAGGGTCAAAGGTCACCACATCTTCAGATTTCAGCACAATAAATGACCACAAGCTCCAATATGTACTATACATTTCCAGCACTAGCTTTTTTTCTACCTGTTGCCATCTTGAATCTACCAAAGCCCCCTGTGTATGTTTGTAGAGTCATGCTCCCAAAGTTTCCATCCTTTGTGAAACGAGCTCAGCGTACCCTATGTGTTTAGGGAATCTGCTCGTTTACCCAGCTTGTATAATCTCATTGCACCACAATATGCACAAACAAATCTAAAACAGGCACCATGCATCAAAGCTGTAAGTACTTGGGCTGCTCTTGTTATTTTCCATCCTCAGTCTGGCATCTTTCAAGGCTTTTATGCAAAAAATGTAATAGTAATATCTGCTTTGTCTCAAGGAACACAAGCTGCAGCTCGGTCTACATCTTCAAGAGTCTAATTCTCCCAAAATACGCATCTTGAACTTCAGAACAAGCACCTGTCTGCTCGGTAATAACCAAAGGTCCCATATGGCTTATCATCAACAACAAACTTGCTTTCAATTCTCCCATCCCTCAATGCAGCTCTGCGCTGTTTCAACATATCGCACAAGACACAATTAGCATTTCAGATCAGTGCATTAACATTCAGTTTGCAGGCAGGCAGACGGGTATTTACATAATCTGGATGGGTTGTCTCTGCCTACGGCCATTTGTTTCAAATGTCCACACACAGAAAACTACAGAGTTTGGGTTAACTTTAGTCACTGTGAGGCCAATGAGTGAGTGATGTAACTGTATGGGCGGGGTTAATAATGTAGGCTGGAGGTCTGCTCAGATGTCTATTTGAATCCACTGCAGTTTTCTAGCATGAGGTGTTTTCATGACACTTTGAAGGTTTAATCATTGTTTATTTGTTATAGATATTTCACAACAAGAAGAAAATAGTTCTGACTTGTTGCACGATCTTTTCTGTGTTTTCTTTAAGTGCAGAGGTACACTTTGTAGTGAGTGTGACATATATTCGGCATTGCATTGGCTCAGGCTGGACATAAAGTCATGATCAGCTCACCCAACCCCACCTGATCCTAACGCAGTATCACATGAAAACTAAGCTGATAACTGTACTCGCATCTGATTGGCAATGTTAGATATGGTGTGCTGTCTAAACCAGTGTCATATTATCACATGTCTCTTGACTCTGTTTTGTAATTTGTGCTGCTGCTCTCCCTGCCTTGGCCTTCAAGTACGCAAATAAAACAGAGGAAATGTGTGCTGTCCTCTGCTGCAGACTTGTAGCCTTTCACATAAGCAGTTTTCATCAGGGGGAGCTTTCAGAACAGAGCCATACTAACTAATAGCAACTAGCCACTATAACTAATGCATGCAAGAAATGAATTCTTCTGATGAAATATAATCCTGACTGAATCAAGTGTGTCACGCAAGCAACAAAAATTTCAAATCTGTCTAACTATCTAATCTTAAGAAGAAAATACTCAGAGAGCCGGCAGAGCTGCACATAAGTTGATCACATGAGATCACAGAGTCTGCAGGTAAACATTGTTTGAATAGTTGTATGAGTGTGACCAACATTAGCAGAATTAGCATCACCAGCCTTCAGTCCTCATCAAAAGTTAATATTCTCATATCGGTGCCAATATGCATTAGGTGGTTAAGTGCAAAGTTTACCAGACACATAAACTTTCATAAACTCTCCATTTTCTGCCAAATCACAGCATGCTAGAATTTGCCATCTGTGCTTGTTTAAATACGGCTGTATTGTGGCAGTATGGCAGAAGCTGATAATGGGCACCACAGGTGAAGGCAGTTGGCTGCAGTTCAGCTTAGACACAACATATCCGTCCTTTTTAATCAAAAACATTAATCTTTTCATGATCCCACTTGTAATTCTAATGCAAGAGTAAATGTATTGTTTGATTAGCCAAAGGGTTATGCTTATACATCACTAGAAACAACTCCAGGCTAGGAGCTCCACAAGTTTGCAAGTAAAAAAAGAGTTTTGAATACTTATTGAGAAAAACTTGAAGTTGTCTAAATGAATGAATGAATGAATACCTCTCGGATCTCCTCTTGAGAAAAGACAAGTCTTTTTCTGAGATCACAGTAATCAAATCTGCATTGAGCTCCTGACTTTAAAAGATTTATCAAGTAAAACCCTAAATGATTTGGGATTTTACACCCTGGTGAGTCTGGCAGTTGTATACATATTGCAAAGTGAGACTACTTCAGTACAATTCTTTGTGAAGCAAACTAAGTAGAATGACATCTCAAATGAGGAAGTGTGATCAGTGTTAGAGATGTAGATGCATGTTTCCTGGGACAGACCAAACTGTCTCAGGACCCGGGAGAGCCAGAACCACATTGAGGAACACAATCACAGTAATTCCTTCCAAGATTTTACAAGTTAGAAAACCGAACTTCTTACTTTGAGCTTAAAGTTAAAAAAAATATCACCTGAAATATCTCAGTTGGAAGTAAAGGATGTTTTTATTTTTCTCTGCAGATCAGTTTTAGTACTGTTTGGCAGGGGAACAGATGTATAGAGGCTGTGCAGTCAAACACGAGTTGTATGCTTTTGTTAATACAGCGCCATCAAGTGACCAGTCCAGACAACTAAACATCTCAATCTCACTGTCCAACTCTATTTATTCAAAAGCCATCTGAAACGAGTCAAACACTGAGTTATCTTTCATAATACGAGAATCAACAGAGAGAACTTTTATTTTGAAATGTTTTATAATATGTGTCCAATAAGTTTCGTTTTCCGAGTGTGGTGAAGAATGTTCATAAAACTAAAAACACAAGCTATGTTACGCACAAGTATGAACTTTACTGACATTAGTGGTAATTTTACTTATGATTAGTGCTCTTTTAGATAAAATAGGTCCACATGATGACTTCGTAAACTACATTTGCCGATTCTCTTCCGGACCTTGGAGTGGTTTACGCACAGCACGGACAGAGACCCAAACGGAGGAGAGGGGACAGAAAAAGCTTCCATTATCCATTCGTTTCCATAAATATGAATCTCCTAACACGGCCAAGTCTTGTTTTAAAGGATGATTCACAGACTCTGCACTGACGTGTGTAAAAGGTACATCCTGTCTCACGGAATACGAAAAACGCCTGCGGCAGAATTACTCTACAATGGCGTCTTTCATTAGAAGATCTGGGGCAGCCAGGAGGAAATAAGACCGCTCTACGACAAAACTCATATCAAAAAATGTACACGGAGAAGAGATACGTGGGTTTGAGTAAGTTAGGGGCAAGTTTACACAGCAACAGCAACCCGGGGA